CTGTTTTTGTAACATGGGAAATATGATTTTCAAAAGACAAGTTGCTGTCTAATATAACACCCAGATGTTTGACTGTAGAGGAAGTAACAGTACATCCGTCTAGTTGCAAATTGTAATCTAAGAGATTCTGTGTACTGTTTTTTGTACACAGAATATAAGTAATATCTCCGTCTTATCCAAATTTAATAGGAGAAAATTATTGGTCATCCAATCCTTTACATTTTTAACACACTCCGTTAGCTTAGATAATTTAGAAGTTTCATCTGGTCTTGTTGAGATATATAGTTGAGTATCATCAGCATAACAGTGGAAACTAATCCCGTATTTTCTAATAATATTACCAAGGGGCAACATGTATATTGAAAATAGCAGAGGACCTAGGACAGATCCTTGTGGCACTCCATATTTTACTGGTGATAATTGAGACGACTCCCCATTTAAATAAACAAAGTGGTAGCGATCGGACAGGTAGGATCTAAACCATCTTAAAGCCTGCTCTTAAATACCTGTATATAGGCCTGTTGCGATAATTAAATAACCGTCTAACCGCGATTATTATGCTTTTTATACGACACAAGGGGGAGTCATACACCAAAAGAAACAGAAGAGCACCAGTTTGCTTTTCATGCACTGTATAGCCTATACAGGACTCCAGACTCATTCTTCCTACTGGTCGCTCTTTTGCAACTAACTTTCTCAGCTGGTCGCACGAGCAGATGATTTGGTCGCAATATATATATATATATATATATATTTTTTTTTTTTTGCTCTACAACATGGGATTATTCAATGTGTGCTGATAAACTTTTATCATAGTTTATAGGTATATGGAAACGAAAGTGGTTAACATTCAACCCGTTCTTTATCATCAGTAGCATTATTTGTGATTAAAATTTAGTGAATGGGAGTTTCTCTTTTGCTGTGTTAAGCCACGGAATTCGGATGCTTTCGAATTCGCGACCTTGTTGTCACTGTTTTGCTTACATATACACACCTTTAATTTTTTTAAGACTAAAACAAAATATGGATTCATTTGTTATTCTTAATTAAAAAGCACGACAACAATAAACCAGTAAGAACTAATAAGATTAGGCATGGCACACACCACATGCTGTATTATATACCGACTAATAATTTACAGAACGTTTAGCAAACACTTAGGAATCAAATAAATAAATAAATGAGAGCCTCCATAGCGTAATGTGAGGTAAACAGCAAAGATACGTTTTTCAAAAATGAAAACAAAAAGAAAAGTAAAACTAACGTTTTTTTCCCCTACAAGAATACCAGCATGTTCACCTTCTCTGGTTTAACAAGCGGTCTTTTACTTGACTTTTGCTTGAAAACCATCCATCGTATACTCTCTAAGCGTGGCTTCGTTATGCTTTTAGTTTCGTTTGCCGTTTGATGTTTCTCATATGCAACAGAAATTGCAACGCTTATGAGTTGACCAACGCGGTGGTCGCGCCAGTGCGACAGCACACAAAAATTTAGTCGCACAGGCAGAAAAAATGGTCGCAGTCTGGAGCCCAGCTGTATCATCTGAAGCCATTCCATATCTTAATGTGAGGGACAGAATTTAGGTTTACAGAAACACATCTTCCTTCTGCTGCAGCTGTCAGTCATTCTCCACTCAGCATTCAAACAGCATGTCACGTTCAGTTATGACAGTCAGCACGGTAAAACTCTCCAAGATGACATATTGCCATTATAATACTTTAAGTTTAAGGAAGGAAATAATTATCACAAACAGAAAGATTATTAGAAGCCTTTCTTTTTCTCATGATTTCTATCTTATATTCATGAACGTATTTTGTAAGAATGCAAATAGTTAACAGAATAAACATGTTTAAATTGTATAATGTGCACCAAAGATTTAGTTTTTTGAAGATATTTTTTTGCTGCTAAATTTAATTTCATAGTTTATACTGTATATTTTTATTCAAATGTAGTTTTTCTCTGTAATGAGGAAGTGAGTATTTAGTGGATTGTGTGTTTAACAAAGGGTTTAAAAGACTGACCATTAGTTCCACAAACAGAGTAATGATATTCTGTAGTGGTGTAAAAAAAATAGCGCTGGTGTTGGATCGGTATTGGACAATTCTTAGAATTTGGAATGCTCCATGTAATCTTACACTGCAAAATAATAACTCGGAAAGATTAAAAGATAACATCATAATTATTTACTGAACCCTTAAATTAATCAATTATATAATGAAAGCCATAAAAACAGACAATCAATCGTGATAATCGGCATAATCGCCAAAACCCTAAAACAGACAATTAATCGTCAGCCAAATTTCATAATCGTGACAGCCCTACCCTTACCAAAAAGTAGTATACTTCAAGTTTATTTTAGCAAGTATACTTAAGTAAAGTTCAAGTATATTTTTAAGTATACTTTATGTAGTAAGTATACAAATATCAGTGTACTAGTAGTATACTTGTAAGTGTACTATTTCAATACTCCTTGGGACTAAATTGGCCCACTTTCTAGAATATAAAAGTATACTTTAAGTATAACAGTAGTAAACTTTGAGTACACAACTAGTTTACATCAAAATGTTTAGTTTGTACTGCAACTATACTAAAAGTGAACTGATAGTTTACTAATTAAATACTTGTAGTAGCATTTTTAGTACACTTTGAAGTATAGTCTCAGTAAAGTACTAGTTTAGTAGTTTTATACTGCAAGTATACTCGTAAGTTTTCTTTTAGTGAACTTTACATCATACTTTAAGTATACTACTATGTCCCTATTTAGGTATTAATTTG